GAGGGTGTTGCCAAAAAAGATTCACATTTGAGTCAGTGGGCTGGGAAAGGCAGATCCATCCTTAATCTGGGTGGCCACCAACTAATCAGCTACCAGCACGACTACAGCATAAGCAGGCAGAAAAACGTGAAAAGAGAGACTGGCCTAGCCTCCCAGCCTACATCTTTCTCCCATGCTGGATGCTTCCCGCCCTCAAACATCGGACTCATTTCTCTTCATTTTTGGGACTCAGACTGCTCTCCTTGCTCCCAGCCTGGAGATGGCCTATTGTGGGACCTTGTGATCATGTGAGTTAGTACTTAATAAACTCCCCTTTGTATATATAATGGAATATACATATATATGTATATATATACACACTATATATATATACACACACACACTAGGAGTTTCTGGGCTGGTTCCTTCTGGACAAAGAACAGGGCCTGGGGCACCTGCTATGTGCTTAGCAAATGACTAATACACATATAATACATATATATATATATGTATATTCCATTAGTTCTGTCCCTCTAGAGAACCCTAAATAATACAGGTCCGAACTTCTTGTGGTGGAGACAGAGACGGGTCCCAATCTCCTGTGATGGAGACAGGGACAGGTTCCAACCTCCTGGGGTGGAGATGGGGATGGGTCCTAACTTCCTGCGGTGGAGACGGGGACGGGTCCTAACTTCCTGTATAGGATGAGCACAGATTCCAACTTCCTGTTACAGATTCTAACTTCCTGTGACAGGATGGAGATGGGTATTATCTTCCTGCTACAGGACAGTAACAAGTTCTAATTTCTTGTCACAAGATGGGACAGGGGTTGTCTCCTGTGTCCTGAACTCCTGGCCCATCACACTCTGAAGGTGGCCGCCTTAAGAAGCAGGGCCCAGGTGCAGAGCCCCAGAGGACCTGGCCCAGGTGCTCCAGGAAGTCCCGCCATCTGGGCTGTGTCTGGATTCTGCAGTCAGGAGCATCCTCTCGTCCTGGCTTTCCATCACATCTCCCTTTTGGCTTTTTAAGTTTCCGTGTCTCGTGCTGGGTTACTTGGACTTGCTTGAGGCATTTATTGAGACTGTCTCCTTTTACCTCCTCTTTCCAGGTTTGTCGGGACTGACAGGAGGCCTTGCATTTACTTGGCTAATGACCATTCCAAGCTCTTAGAAAGGACTGGCCTGGGAGTCAGGGGCACTGAAGGGGGAGTCCTGCCTGGGAGGGGCCCAAAGCAGAGGCAGGAAAGAAGGTGGGCACGGGTGCTGCTGGTGGCAGCCTGCCCCAGAGATGCCCAGGTCCAGGCCAAACAGGAGTGCTCCAGGTGATCTGAGAGCTCTTCCCCAGGGGGGCCTCTGAGGAGCTGCGACCGAAGTGTCTGTGAACTGGGGGAGGAGCATGGGACCCATGAACTGTGCTTCCGGTTGCAGGTGAACCGTACTCGCTCCCGCCACTGTCTCCCATCGTCCTCCCGCTCTACTGGCGGGAAGACAGATGTCCAGCGAGGACGCAGAACTTGCTCATGGCTCCATGGTGTGTAGTAAGGGGCAGGCTTGGCTTTCAAAGTCAGCCTGTCTTACTTCAAAGCTTTTACACACACAGTGTACACGCACAGGCGCGCGCGCACACACACACACACACACACCAGCAGCTTTGGGACCAGCCTGGATGGGGCTGGTCAGCAGGTGGCGCTAGAGTCGCCCTGGTGGGATTTCGGCTTCCCTGCGTCTCTCAGCAGGGCCGGTACTAATCAGGGGTGGGGTTTTGTTTTGCCAGAGGGAAGCGTTCACCCAGCAAGCCGGAGGAAAGCAATGGGAGGTGTGCGTGATGTTCTGGTGCAGCTCACGCCATCATCACACACAGCGAGCTGGTCACTCCTCCCTGGAGGCTCCCCCTCCAACCCCACACAGTCATTCCTCAGAGCACCCCAAAACCTTCTCTACACTAGGAGTTTCTGGGCTGGCTCCTTCTGGACAAAGAACAGGGCCTGGGGCACCTGCTATGTGCTTAGCAAATGACTAATGCACAAAAATAAACACGTCCTTGATTTTCCTGGTTAAGTCCTGGCTTCAATGATCCTACTTCGCTCTACTCAAACTTAATAAAACACCAGAAACATAACTATCTGGCAAACTGCCTGTCAGACTGGGAACAGCCCAAAAATCCCTTTTAGCCAGTGTGTCGAGGTCAGGGACGGCCTGTCATCACTGAATCTATTACAGAGCTGGGCACAGGCGAGCCCGTCCCGTCCCTGCCTGCCATGCAGGCCCTGGTTTCCAGACATGTCCCCTCAGCAGGCCACATATCCTGGGCCATGTCATGTGTCAGAGAACAATGTGCTCCAACTTGCCAGTTCAACATATTTGACCCTAACACCCCAAGCTCTGTGGAGATGATCCTAAGCCACCACGCACCAGAGAGACAAGGCCCTCTAGGCCCCTCCTTCTCCTGGGAGGCACAGCAGTTCTGGCCACCCCAGGTGCTTATGGACATCCCTGCCGGAATTTTCGTGACTTTCACATGCTCATCGTCTGGGAGACAAGCCCCAGAACTGGCCAAGGCAGGGGGGCCATCGACGGCTCTATCTCCGCCACCGTCACCATGTTACACCCTCAGGCCCACAGCTGTTCACTCACGTCCCATTCCCAAGAAGCGGCAACCAAGGCCACCCGGCTTTGCTCCAGCTTTCTAGACCACAGGTCATCAGGGGCCAGCCCCACTGAGGGGATAAAGAGGATGTGTCCGGCCCCATCAAAGGCTGTGGGACAGCTTTGCACACTTCCTCCTGCGGGCAGGAGGGAATTGTATGGGGAGGACTGTAACAGCTTGGTCCTGTCCACAAGGCCGAGCCCTGTGGTTTGCGGCCCAGCTTCCTGGGTCATGCTCCAGTTACCAGCCCTCGGCCGCCGGGATGTTCCCCAGATGGAAGCCGTGTGACTGGAGAGAGAGAGAAAGCCGCAGAAGCGGACTGTGCAGTCCTGTCTGTTAAGGCTCCCGAGTGAGGCAGTCTTGCTGAGTTGTTAACCACAGAAGCGCTGGCCACAGATCCCTCCTCAATATGGCTCTTTTAGATTTTAAAAATTGCTTTCTGAAGTTTAGATGAAAAAACGCTTTAAGAAGTTTGGGTTTTTGATGAGCAGGAAAAGGGGCTGTAAAATACAAAACTCCAGTCTGAGGGGTTAGCAGTGCTGAGAGGCCGTGGCCCCTCCTTGCTATCAACCCTGGGAGTCCAAAGGCTGGAACAAGCCAGGCGCCCAGCAGGTCAGTCCCTTACTGCACAGCACACAGGGCCCAGGTTTCAGGCTGAACTCCCCATTTCATCACGCGTGTCCATACTCCCGCCCCTTCTGCCTGATTCGATTCCCCTTCCACCTTCATGCCGGCATGGCCCACTCCAGACAGCCCCCTGCCCACCCTCACACCCAGCCAGGTCGGGGCCCCTCCTCCCTCTTAGCGCATGCTCCAAAGGCCGAGCCAGTGCGGGGACAAAGGCCTTTGTGGGCTCACTGTCTAGCCAGGTGCCTGCACACAGTAGGTCCAGGAAGAAATGACTTTCTCCAGCACTGAGGGGTGGCAGAGGCTTCCACAGCCAACATGAGGGGTGGAGCTGGGTTCTGCCGATTTCAGCCATGACCTTAGCAGACATGGCCAACCTGCCCACCCTCGGGCTTAGAAGGCGCCAGGGCCCCTGTGCAGGGCAGCCTCCTCCTCGTCAAAAGGTGGTTTCATGACTGTGTGCAAGCTAGAAATCGAGGTCACAACCACAGCCAGCCTCCTGGAATCCTCAAGCCCAGGCACTGACAAAGGCTGGGGAGAGAGTGAACTTACAATGACAGACGGCTGCACAGCCTCCAGCTGAGGCCATGGAACTTTCTTAATGGCTCAGAGAAGCACTGTCACTGCCTGCCAGGCTGTTGCATAACCATGAGCTCTTCAGGATGCTACAGACTTGCAAACCCAGTTTTGGGGCAGCTTTTTCCTAACCCAAGCTCAGGAAGGAAACAAAATGTTGGGTTTTCAAGCAGACAGAAACCCATGCTGGGAAACAGCAGATCAGGGAAGCGGCCGGGCCAGCCAAGGGGCCATCTCAATGCCAGGAAGAATATGGAGGGCTGCCAGGGACAACGGGGCCGCTCGGTGACCCAGAAGTCTTGCTATGCCATGAGCCAGGGCAGCTGCCCCTCGGGTCAGGCGGTGAACACTACCACTGACCCTCAGGTGGTGGGGGCAGCTGGCCAAGAACCCAAGGCAGGCTGAAGGTCAAGAGGCCAAGGCCTGGGAAACGGCTGGCTGCCTGCACTGCACACTAAGAGTGCTGGGGGAGGTCACAAGTCCACAGTCCTGAGATCTGTCCCAGCGTGGAGCTTTTCCTGAAGCAACTGACAGTAGCACTAAATGAGACTTGACGAATACAATTAGGGGTAAGGGGGATAGGAAGTGGGAACCGTGGACTCAAGTGGACGCCGTGATGGCCTAGGAGTGAGTGAGCTTACAAAGACATAGGGGCACGCAGCCCCCCGTTTAGGATCTGGAATCTTTGATGCTGTTCCCACACAGTCACCAGGCTGGACGAATTCTGGCTTTCAGGGAGGCACCTAACAACAATGTCCAACAAGTCACATCGGCTCCCTGACTTTGGACTGACATGGAGACACTGTTACCTACGCATCTGAGTCAGAGCACGTTCTGACATCTGCATGTTACAGATGAGAAAACCGAGGCCCAGAGAGCTTGCCCAAGGCTCCACCCCAGGAAAACAGAGGGCTGTGGTTCCTGCCTGGTTCTGTGCACAGCCTTGGCCTGAAAGCATGACTATAGACCCCAGATTCATTTGCAGTTACTCCTTTGACTTTCTGAGACCAGTGTCACTAGCATTTAGAGGCTTGAGGGCCAGGGATCAGGTGAGTGCCCTGTGTCCCTCATGGGAGGACACTGAGGTCACAGCCTGATAACCCATCCACCCGGGAGCTGGGTCACCAGGAAGGCCAACACAGACAGACGATGGCATGGTCCAGATGACTTACGTGGCTGCGGAGCGGCGATAGTTCTCAGGGCACTCGAAGACCAGGCAGCGGAAGCCGCCCTGGATGTTGAAGCAGGTCTCATTGATGGAGCAGTTGTGGATGCCAGTCACACACTCATCAATGTCTGCAAGAGACCCCCACAGCGGCACAATGAAGGCAGAGGCTGCAGGAGCCATCCCCATCTGGACATGGAGGAGCCCAGGCCTCCCATCAACTAGGGTTAGGGGTGGCGATCAGGCCATCCGTGCCCTCCACTGGCTGATCTTCAGAGCAGCGTCCTGTGCCAGTTCTTAAATGTATAGGATATTTACATTTATAGAGTGTTAACTTATCATTTGCAATCCATGGAGGGAGTGTGACAATGGTAAAAGTAAACACTGCATGATGGGTCCTGGGAGTGCCTCGCAAGGCAGGATAACTCACTGAATCCTCCTAAGAACTCAATGAGGCAGATACTGTTATGATCCTCATTTTATGAGGAGCTCACAGAGCTTTAGAGACCTGCCTGAGGTTACATATTTTATAAATGTCAGAGCCGAGCTTTGAACCCAGGCGGGCTGGTGCCAGAGTCCATGCACTAACCACCCAGGGCCTCTCTGCGGCTCCCAAGGCACAGCACCCTTACCCGAGGTGTGACTCAACCTCTTAGGAGAAAAGGAGCTGCTAGCTCCATGCAACAATGAGAAAAACAGGCTTCGAGATCATACGTCTTGCCCTGTGTGTTGGGGTTGGTGGCTGTTCAGGGGGGACTGGAACCACCAGGACTGGGACTCCTGAGATGGGGCCTGGGGCACCACACCGAGAGGCCCCTGGAGATGGGTGAGCAGCCCAATTCCCACAGACTCTGGAGCAGCCAAACAGCGGGGCTCAGGGGCTGTCACCGGCCCTGGGAGACGTCCATTAAGAGGTGCCAAATGCCTGAGCATCGGTGGCAAAGACGACACTCCCCAGCCTCAAAGGCCCGGCTCAGGAATGTGTTTATGCTGAGTCTGGGCGGGACCCCAGGCTGCGGTGAGGGAGCCTGGCCAGGAGAAAAGTCATTTGCTCCGTCAGAAATGCAGACACAACCGGGCTCAGGCCCGGGGCAAGCAGAGGGGGCCTCCCAGGAAACACCGCAGCTCCTGTCTGCCTTTCATCAAAGTCACCCACCTTCCTCATGACCAGAAGCTACATCTGTGGGACCCAGGAGGCTTCCGGAGCCCCAGGATCCACAGCCCTGTGTGGGGCTCCCGAGGCACTGGCTGGACAGCCCCACCTCCATGACTCAGCTTCTGGGCCCAGCGTGTGCACTGGGCATCACGCGCTCACAAACACCCACTCAGCACCCGCTGTCAGTGACTGAATGGATGGTCGTCGGATGGCTTTGGGTGGCACACACAGCCCCCCAGAGCGTTCATAGAAATGGGGGCTGAATGCAGAACCAATGCCACTGGCCCCCATCACTTAGTCCATGCTGGAGCTGACCCACAGTCATGAGTGTCCCCGGGCCATCCCACACCAGGCCACACCATCCCCTGGCCTGGACTGCTTCCTCCCTGGTGGGCATCTTCCTAAAGAACTCTGTTCCAGCCTTTTAGGGGCTGCTGAGGAGAGCGTAGGAGGGCTCAAGTGTTCCTGCTGGATGCAGCCGTCATGGGGCTCAGACAACCCAGAGGACAAGTATGCTGGGGCCTGGGTGTGGGAGACCAGGGTGCTGCGGACCCCAGGACACCCCTTGGATGGTGGGAGGGCCTCCTTTTCCTGAATGCATCTGTGCTGTGGCCCTTGGGTTGGGGAAGTACAGCCCCCGAGCCCGGCCTCAGCCCCACCACACTGCAGAGCCCCAAGCACAGCATGAGGGGCGCCAGGGCATTCCGCCTGCTCACCTTGGCAGTTGCGGCCGTTGGGGGCCAGCCTGTAGCCGGACGAGGGGCAGCTGCACTGGAAGCTCCCAGGGATGTTGATGCAGCGGTAGGAGCAGATGTGGCCCCCGGTGGGCAGGGCACACTCGTCGATGTCTGCAACGGCAAAGCCCACCTCAGCCTCAGTGTCCTGGCACCTGGTCATGGCTGCTGGCCACGCTACATTGCCCTGGGGGCTGCACTGGGGCCCGGGAGGGCAGCAGCACGGGACAAGCTGAAGACAAGAAGCCTTAGAGACCATCACGCTCAGAGAGGCGATGGGACTAGCCTAGGGTCACACAGCAAGTTCATGGTGTGAAGTATGCATGTGGCGGGCAGGGGGAAACATGGACCGCAGTTCAACAATAAGAAACACAGCTCAGCTGAGCACACTGGCTCATGCCTGGAATCCCAACACTGTGGGAGGCTGAGGCAGGAGGATTACTTGAGCCCAGGAGTTCGCGACCAGCCTCGGCAACAAAGTGAGACCCTGTCTCTACAAAAAATCAAAAAAATTAGCCAAGCTTACTGGTGCATGCCTGTGGGCCCAGCTACTCAAGGAAGCAGAGCTGGGAGGATTGCTTGATCCCAGAAGATGGAGGCTGCAGCGAGCTGTATTTGTACCACTGCCCTCCAACCTGAGTGACAGAGCTGTCTCTGTCTCAAAAACAAACAAGCAAACAAAATATACACACACCTTACACACGAAAACGGTAATCATCATAATTGCCCTTAATTGCCCGTAATTGCTATCATCTGGTTTAATCCTCCAATGATCTGGTGAGGCTGGAGTTAATCCCTATGTTACAGACGAAGAGTTAGAGCTCTGAGTCAGGGATACAGGTGGTCCGTGAGACCTCCCTTACCTCTCAGCCGTGCACCACCACCAAGCTCTGAGATGTGCAGCCCAAGGTCCCAGGGCACATCGCGATCACCACCATGCACATTATTAAACAACAAGTCAGGAGTGGTTTGCTGCCTTCCCACCCTCATGCTTAAGGATGGGAAAAGTATATTAGAATTTCAGTTGGGGGCTGGGCACAGTGGCTCAGGCCTGTAATCCCAGCAATTTGGAAGGCTGAAGCAAGAGGATCACTTGAGCCAAGGAGTTCGAGACCAGCCTGGGCAACACGGCAAGACCCCGTCTCTAATTTTTAAAAAATAAAAAAAATCAGCCAGGCGTGGTGGTGTACGCCTATGGTCCCAATTACTTGGGAGGCTGAGGTGGGAGGATCACTTGAACCCAGGAAGCTGAGGCTACAGTGAGCAGTGATTGCACCATATCACTCCAGCCTGGGCAACAGAGCAATACCCCATCTCAAAAAAAAAAAAAAAAAACAATCTCAGTTGGAGGGAAAACAGCAAACCACCCACTAGCCTCCAAGGGTGGACATGGAAGGTTTGCCAGGTGACGAAATCCCAACAGGCTCTTCCCGTGGATTTGAAAGTCAGAGGCCGTGCTGCTGTGTCATGGCGGATGTCATGTCAAAGGCCATGGGTGGCTTTCCCCCTCAGCAAGCAGGGGCGTCCGCACCTTCACAGGTGACTCCGTCCACATCACTGAGCTGGTAGCCCCGCCGGCAGTAACACTGGTAGGAGCCGTAGACGTTGGCACACTCCTGGCTACACGGGCTGCTGCTGCACTCATTGATGTCTGAAATACAAAGCGAGGGTCACTGCTCAGAGCGACATCACATGTCCCTGCCTCCAGAGCAGCCCTCAGGGTCAGTGAACCGAAAACCTCCTCTCCACCTCCCTCAGGTTAACACACTCGGAGAGGCGGAGTTCCTGGGGTGTGTGGCCGAGGGAGAGGTGTCATCACTGGTGACTCCAGACCCTCCCTCCCTGCCCCTGCCTGCTTTGACCACACCTTCTCCTGTCAGGATGGCAGCTATAGCCTCCAGCCTCAGCCCCTGGAAGCCAGCCCCCACCTGGCTGCCAGAGTCCATTCTAGTCCTCAAATGGAAATCTGATCCTGTGCTCCTCACTTCACCTCCAAGATGGCATCCTACACAGATGACGGCACTCAAGGAACGCCTCAGCCATCCGGCCCATACCCCAGTACTCCTCATACTCCAATGCACAGAACTCACTGGGCCACCCAGCAACTCTGAACTACTGCTCAACTGTCCCCTTTACCTAGAGCAGAGGTCAGCGAACCACAGTCCATGGGCCAAATTCGTCCCAACACTTGTTTTTATAAATAAAGTTTTATTAGAACACAGCCAGGCCAGGCATGGTGGCTCATGCCTGTAATCCCAGTACTTTGGGTGGATCACAAGGTCAGGGGTTCAAGACCAGCCTGGCCAGCGTGGTGAAACCCTGTCTCCACTAAAAATACAAGAATTAGCTGGGCATGGTGGCACGTGCCTGTAGTCACAGCTTCTTGGGAGGCTGAGGCAGAAGAATTGCTTGAACCGGGAGGCAGAAGTTGCAGTGAGCCAAGATATACCACTGCACTCCAGGGTGACAGAGAGAGACTCCGTCTCAAAATAATAATAATAATAATAAAATAAAGAATACAGCCAGATTAATTTTTTTTTTTTTTTTTTGAGACAGAGTCTCTGTCTGTTGCCCAGGCTTGAGTGCAGTAGCTCAATCTCAGCTCACTGCAATCTCTGCCTCTGGGAGCCTACTGTCCACTAACGTGGATACGAATTCACACAACTCTCCCGCCTCAGCCTCCTGAGTAGCTAGGGGATTACAGGCGTGCGCCACCATGCCCAGCTAATTTTTGTATTTTTAGTAGACACGGGGTTTTACGATGTTGGTCATGCTGGTCTCGAACTCCTGACCTCAAGTGATCTGCCTGTGTCGGCCTCCCAAAGTGCTGGGATGACAGGTGTGAGCCACTGCGCCCTGCCACACTCATTCTTTTACCATGGTCCTCTGGCCCTTTCTCTGCTACCACAGCAGAGTTGAGCGGTTGCAACCGAGATTGTGGCTGGAAAAGCCTTAAATCTATACTATGTGGCTGTCAGAGAACGTCCAATAGCCTTCCAGCCTGTGTTTCATCTCGGTGGCCCCCACACACCAGACCTGGCCTCCACCTGCCCAGTGGGGTCTCTCATCCCCCACTAGAGACACTCCCCAGTGCAGGACTGAGTTCTCGCTACACACCCGGGGCAGGTGCTTCACACATGGTTAGTAAGGTCACATGGCAAGGCTGGCCAGGCCCTGGTTCTGTGTCCACAATATTGTCCACTAATGTGGATATGAATGCCGACTTTTCAGTAATTTACGAGTGACTAGAGGAAGCACAAGCCAGGAATCCCACTACTTCTACTAAATAATAATAAAGCCAGCAGCCTCCACACTGCCAGCTCTTCATCCTGCACTCAGCCCTGTGATAAGCTCTTCACATGCGTAATCTCGTTTCATCCTCACAGCCCCCTATGGGGTTGGTCCTACTATGCCCATTTTACAGATGAGCACACCAAGGCCCAGAAAGACTGAGTTACTTCTTCAAGGCCATAGAAATGGCAGAAGTGAGGTTTGAACACAAGCCTGAGAGACTCAACTCGTGAATCTTGTTCCTTGTCCATACACGTTCTTGTGAACTAATCCCAGGACCCCCTCACACCGTCCATCCTCCGATTGAAGAATTATGCACACCACAACTCACCCTGGCATATCTAACCCCTGTGACCATCTCATCACGAAGGAAAATTCTCATGGCAGAATTTTAGGACCTGCCACATTTGAGTCAGGCTACAGAAGCCGTCCTCTGGGTCAGTGCACCGCACTCAACAGGGTGTCATGGGCAATGTGGACAATTGTCGAGGGCCGTCCAAAGCCCTCAGTGTCTGCTCAGCTCAGAACCTAATCCCTGCATAAGACATGACATCTGCCAAGCACCTAGTATGTGCCAGGCCTTGGGCTGACAGGCTGTTCATGTGACCTTCCCATCAGCCCAGGAGGTGTTATCTGAGAACCACAAGACTATTGGCAAGAACAACTTTGTCCAACCCCCACATACCAAGAGACTTGACCCAACTTCAGCATGGCTGCCACTGGCCTAAGACCACGTACCCAGGATGCAGACCCAGCCCCCGTGGCATGCCTGCCTGAGAAAGATCAATGCTGCCAAAAGAATTTTCTCTTGGTTCCAGCCCAAACCTGACTACAGCCGCTGACCTCCATTTTCCTTAGAAGCATCTACTTTAGAAAAACTTGCAAATGTAAATGGTTTCTCTGTCCCTTTGAGATGTGCAACCCACAACTGTCTTTCTTGAGGGCTGGGGACGAGACTGGGGAACGTCGTCATCGGGAAGGCCAGGGTGCTTCTCCCTGTCTCTATCGGAAGGGAAAGCCTAACTCCAATAAGAAGTTAGAGGCAGGCTGGGCGCGGTGGCTCACGCCTGTAATCCCAGCACTTTGGGAGGCCGAGACGGGCGGATCACGAGGTCAGGAGATCGAGACCATCCCGGC